TATATATCTATATATATATATATATATATATATATCTATATTATGTATCACTCCATCCATCCAATTGGCCGTCGCCGCCATGCATGCCACAGAAGAGTGGGAAAATAAATTTGCGACAATAATTTTAAGAGGCATTTACATACATAGCACAGAATTCTTTTGTATTTAAATATTTCACACATAAACTTTTATTTTTACCCACACAGCATTACAAGCATTTTTTATGTATAGGCTTAAAGCACCAAAGTGTTGTGTGTGTAAAAATGAAAGTTTAGATGTGAAATATATAAATACATAAGAATTTTGCGCTAGGTGTGTAAATTCCCCTTATTTTAATTAAAATTTTAGAAAATTAATTTTAGTAAGAAATTAATTAATTATAACTAAAAAAATGATTTATTAATAAGTACTTCTATACACCAAAATGATTGAAATGAAATATAAAAATGTAGAATTTAATAAAAATAGTTTCTTTCAGAATGTGTCAAAATTGCATATAAATTTCAAGACAATTTACCTATTGCTTTTGTAATTTTGGGTTATTACATAAAAGAAACAATTGGGTAATCCAACCACTATGGATCCAAGCTGGGAATGCCACCAGTTGGTCCACCTTGAATGCAGTACTAGACTATATTATTAGAATTATCGATTAGAATAATTAGAAGAATAATATTCTTATTCTATTATTCTAAGTTCTTCTAGTTAGAAGTTTTACAATTTTCTTATAGAGTATTTTACTATAAGAGAAAAAATAGACTACGCCGTTCTGACAATAGCACTAACAGTGGAGGCAAACAAGAACGGAAATTCAGTTTGACAGCAAGGCAAAAGGGGGCTGCAACAGTTGCAATATTTGGAGAGATATGAAATAAAAAAGATAACTAAATTTAAGAGAAATGTAAGCTAACATTCCTATTAGGGCCTGAAGATGGATTGCATCATTTTCCATATTTACCAACAGTTATTATGTAAGTTTGTTAATATATGTATTAAACATTTAAATTTCTACCGATTCTCAGTTTCCGTCACAATATTCCGAGCACCCATAACAGATCATGACGTATAGAATGCCAAGAAGCCCACCAAAAACAGAATAAAAAAGCATCACATACCAGCTGTTGGCAAGGTGGGCAGATGTTTGTTTTCTCCTACATTATGTACTGAAGTGTAGGAACTTTCCTCAGCCACTGTTGCGTCTGCCACTATTTTTGGCAACTCCTTTATCAATCGTGTTACTTCCTCTGGCTTGCTTAGTAGTTTTTTTCTATCCATGTACTCATACAGTGTAATAGCACGTCAGATTAAGGTGAATAACTATAGAAAAGTAAGTTTACTTGGGATAAAAGAAACATAAAAAGACTAAAGCAAATTTTGAAAAAATAAGATCATGTTAATTATTCACATGCACTAAGAGAACCAAAGGATATTCTTTGCGCCATCCTTTTTCATTTGCTCGTTCAATCAGTTTATCCAACTTCAAAAGTTCTTTATTGATCGACTGGAAAGAATAGATTTCATCAACTATGATGAGACATGGGTTTAAAGTGGCGTTCAGCAGCATAAATTTAAGTTAGGGCAAAATACACCAGCACAATATGAATTTGAAGATAAAGGGCATGAATAGAAGCATGAATAAACATACATGCTTCGCTATATCCTCGTGAACAATTCTTATTTTCTTCTCTATTTCAACCTGCCAAATAATGATGAAATATAAACTTGTCACCAGTTAAAAAAAAATGAATTATTAACAGTGGCGTTTGCATACAAATGAAATGTGAGGCACAAATAAAAATAAAAAAAAAATTCTACTTCGAGCGTATGACGTGCATGCTCTAATCACTGAAAACATATAATGCAGTAAATAGTAGCACCCCAAAACATAAAACAGTTAAAACATTCCCCTTGAAAGAAATAGGATTCTCTAATAACTCAAAAAATAGTTCACGCAACCAAAAGACAATTGCATGACCATAAAATGACCCTCAAACCAGCTAAATCGTCAAAAGAATCAAAATAATGAGAAATTTTGATATAACTATCTAACAATCAATAAAGTGAAGAAATAATTCAATAAACACAAATAAATTAAGGGTAATCATCTAATCAGGGTAAATCGAAAGGCTCAAATCCAAACAAAACTCAGCTCACCCTCCACGTATCGTTGGAGTTGATGCATATAAAATATCATAGCCTGTTAAAGTTGTCATTTAAGGGGCTGATTACTAGCAAGCCCCCTGAGGGCTGATTTTAAGGAGCAGCAGTAGCTAGAGGGCTGCCAAAGATGCATAGCAGCTGCACTGGCAATGAGGGAGTACTCCCCTAGCCCTCAAATTGATGGCATGGCAATGAACCTATGAATTGCTGACTAGGAGCTTACAGTCGATGCTTATTTAGTAATTTCTGAATTTAATTTTTATTGTAGTGTTTTCTTTCCTTTTTCACATAGTTGTGGTTTATTTCTTTCTATTTTTACCCATTGTAAGAATCTATAAGTAAAAATCTATTAGTAGAGCTATTTTGGGCCGGATAAACACAATGGACCTATTATTTACTCTTTTACGTCCTTCTTGTTTATATGTTATCAGAGAAGTTTTGTTTATGAGACGGCCAACCACTAGAAGAGGGTCATAACAGAGTTTAGCTAAAGTGAAAAGATCAATTCTCCCACCAGCAAACCAAGGCATATCATCCTAGCGAGAGTCTCTATGGATAACGAACTGGCTCAAGTCACTCCCTAAATACTTAATGGGTGATGATCTCACAGGTTTAGGAAAGTGATTCAGGGAAGAAAATTTTGATACCTAAATGCTACAATACATCAGCCTAAAATGATCAACTCTTCCTTCCCATTATGGAATACGAATAATTCCTCGGAAATGTTTTGACAAGTCCATATAGGAAATAATTAAATCATTGTAGTTGAACTACAACACCACACGAACAATCTAGCAGAAAACAACATGGCTTACTCTAATGTTCAAAATTATGCTTAAATGTTTGAATTACTAGATCAATCCGCTGACTTCAAGCAAGAAAACATGCCACAAAATACTTTACCACCCTCATAGAAAATTGGCGAGAAGTAGATATCTTTGATCCAAATGATTAGTGCGAAAAGTGTGCAGACAAACTGATGCGGGGACTTGAGGTTGAACCCGCCCCAACCGGTTCAACAAGAGAAGGCTCAGTCCAGCAAAAGACTGGACCAACCCCCTCCTCCCTCTTTTAATTGGGTGGGAATTATTCCCCCCATCCTGCTTTCATTTCCCGCCTCGCCATCTTCTATTTATAAAAGGGGCTTGTTGAGTTAGGGTTATGTTATGTTACATGTTATTTGAGATTTCACCTTGAAGTGTTTTTCTTACAAGGGTTGTATCTGAGGACAAGAGATGCTCCGCTTGTATCCTGCTCCAAAGTGGTGTTTATCCTCTCTGATTCCCATCCCCGCTCTCCACCTCCCCCGCTACTTACCACTGATCGGCCTCTCTACTTTTCAGATTCCTGTGTTGTCCGTGACCTTCCCCTCCAACAACCCCTTTCCACTTTTCTGCTGGGTCGCTCATCATTCCCCTACCATCCTATCATCACACTAACCCTAGGCCAGCTCCCCTGCTTGCAATCACAAAACCCCTTCTTCCCTGTTCCGTTGTCACCAATCTCTCCCAGACCTGTGACCGCTTCTCCAATCCCACCCAGATTGGTTGTCGATACTACAATTTCTTCCAAGTTGACCACCGTACCGTCCCTACAGCCAACCTGCTGTCCAGCCACACGTTCATCCCCTCACAGCATTCCTCTAGCCACCATAACACCCTAATCTCTCCGTATATTACCCTCTGCCCCACCTAGCACCCTCAAACCTCATGCCCCTGCCTTCTACTTGCTGCCAAAACTACTTTCCTACCCAACCAGCCAGCACCACCATCTCCCATCGGTCTATTTGCCTGTGGGCCAGCCACCACCCACCACCCATCCTCTTCACTGTTGCCCTAAACTGTCCTTTTTATGTTTGTTGTCGTTTATTTCCTAGTTTAAGAAGTCGTCATTGCAACCTATTTGAATATCCATAAATAATATTTTCATTTATGTTATGGTTTGGGTTAACTCCAGTATCACAAACACTCAAATTTGAGGAGACAAAAAAAAAACAAAGAAAAAAGGCTTAAGACTAAAAATTCTACATAAATTAAAATATATTCTTATATACTTAACAACTCGACAATTTTTTTCAAAAATCTATTTTATCATATTCATCTGACCATCCATTTTGTGGTTGAAAGACTCCAAAAGTTTTTAGCTTAGCTCCAAATAATTTTCATAAAATTTTGGAAAGTATGAGACAATTCTAATATCACTATATAAAATAAAATAGATTGTAAATCGTGTTGTTGTAATATGGGAAGCAACGTTAATATTGGAACAGGGTAAAAATATAACACTTTTAGAACAAACCAACTATAAGGACTTTATCATGTCTTCTTAAAATCCTAAACAGTCCCCAGATGACATAAATGAAAGATCATCCCAAGGTCTGCAACAAACAAGACAGTATATTTTCCAACTTTTTTGCTTCAGGGTTTTGACTATCCTACAAGTATTGCATTGAAAAATAAGTCTTTCAAAATACCTTTTGCTTGGTGGCCAAAAAAATCCATTTATCATCTTATTGACTATTTTGGTTTTCCCAAAATATCCATCTGTTGCCCCATAATATAACTTAGAAAATTATGAAATTTTCGCAATCAACATCTAGGAATTCACAATTATTTTTATTGTATAATTATCAATCAATTGCCATGCAAATGCTCATCAATGACAAAGGCCGCTCATGATGCTCATGATGCAAAATGTAAAAATCGAGGCATGGTGAATCATCTTCCTTAATATGTGACGTGATGAGAAAATTCATGGTTAAAAAGGGAATATAAAATAATGTTTTTTTATCCATTCAATCCAAAAAATCTGCACCTCTAGAGAACAAATCACTAAAACAACTCTAAACAGTGCACAACAAGCTTTTTTCAATCTTAGGCTCATGTTAAATCACAAAAAAAAAAAAGTCTTGTAAAACTTCAACTAACTTTGCATGTTTATTATTCATATTTCTAAGTGTATTAATGAATTTAAAAGCATGATGATCAAAATTCAAAATAACTCTTGGTACTGTAAATAATGTTTCCAATCTTTTAACAACTTAATGATAGAACAAAACTCTCTCAGAATTGGAATAACTTTATATTACATCATTGAGTTTTTTCACTAAAAAATGTTATGAGACCATTTTCTTTACCAAATACACCACCAATCCTACTTGTAGATGCATCACATATCAATTTAAAAACTTTATAAAAATCAGGCAACCTCAGGAGTGAAGGCATCAAAACTTTAACTGTAAAAATATTTTATTTGTAGCAATCCATAAAATTATATTCTTTAAAATATTATTATCAAGTGCAATAACAGTCTAAAAGTATTAATAGACCTCCACTAAAAGATAGAAAATTCATAAAATCTCCTTACATGAAAAAAATAGTAGTTGGCCAATCAATATGTGCTTAAGCTTTCCAAAAACAGGCTTTAATCCCATGAGATGAGACAGAAAACCAAAAAATATCACCTTCATTGTGAAAACATATGGTAGGTAAAATAAGGGTTAAACTTTGCACAATCAGACTTTGCACAAAAGTTTAGATTCATAAACCAGGTTAACCTTGGTACAGGAAGCCTGTACTATAGTTAAATTGTTAACCTCTATGTCATTCATACACGTTCTCCATGATCCATCATTTTTTAGGGAACAATATAACGCGGGCGCTAAAATATGCCCTGATGCGGGCGCTGGAAGCATGTGGCGACAAAACCCCATGAACTGTCTAGAAGGCGAGATAGCAAAATTTAGCGATCGCGGGAGAAACTGTTACCCGTCTTCATAAAGGAAATTGCAATAGCTATTTTTCTGAATTCTTCTTGCCTCCCCACTCTTTTTTGGTGGGTACCTGCTCTACTTCTGTTGTCTTTTCACATTCAGTGCTAAGGTCTGAACATCACTAAGCTTCCAATAAGTTTGTAGCCGAACAACATTGTTGATGGAGAGCTTCAAGCCTCCCATGCACTTGGCTATCGTTTGCTCCTCTGTCCCTATCATCATATTTCAACTTAAAATGCATAAATTATGCTTTGTACTACACTGATAGTTTCCCCTACTGCAAGAGGTGGAGCTTCAAGAAAATACCCATGTTGTAGTGTGGGGCGTAGGTACGTTTATTGCACCGCCTTGTTTATTTTGTCCCAGGTAGTGACCTTATCACTTCCTTTTCCCTGTCTCTCTCTTCAAATTCTCCTCACACGAGTCATTTTACTTTAGCTTGATGACAGCGAGCTTCACTTTTCTATCAGGTAGTACATCCTTGAATACAAAGATCCTCTTGAGGGTCTGTAGCCACTCAATGAAATCATCAAGAATTTATTCTTTCCTAGAAATCCGGTAAATCCACTTTGACTCCTAATTTTTTGTATCCTCCAATAGACACTTCATCTCTCAGCCTCTTCTGATATTGAATCTCGATCGAAGCTTAGTAGTTGATCCTCCCTTTCATTGAAATCATCCCTAAAAAAGGGATTCAGATGTACTTCTCACTCTTCTCCTCAGACCTCGCCATCACAGTCAACGGTGGCCTCTCCATGGGTTTCCTCAATTTCATCTAGTCATTATGGCACTCGACAAAGTTGTCATTGTATCTCTTCCTTAGTGAACTACTGATCAACATCCAGCACTTGTCTCCTAGGTGGCATGATTAGGGATTGGGTGTAAGTAGGTGAGATAGGGTGTATGGTGTGATGTCGGGCGGGAAAGAAAAAGTTTGGGATAGGTAGATGTTTGGGGGGGTTGGGTTAGGTAACCCTAGAGCAGACTAGGATTAGGCTAGCTCTATTATCAAATGATATTGGAGTTAACAAATAATGGGAAAAACAAATATTATTGTTGAATGCAAATAGTAGATTACAACCAAACACACTGAAACAAAAAAAATAACAGACAACACATAATGATGCCGTGGTTAACCCAAATCACAATAGAAATACGAAGTTTATTGCTGAAATTCAAAAAAGATTACAAACACAAACTCTCGACAATAGGAAAAAAACAAAATACAGACTTGGAAGACATCCTAGAGTGGCAGTGAGGGTGGTGGATGGCTGCATGGCAGTGGCTTGAGGGATTGGTGGAGGTGGCGGGCTCAGCAGAAAGCTGGAATGATGGTACAACTAACAGTGGGCTACTGTGTGTGTGACGTCAGCAGCAGAACAGAGACTTAAGGGCAGCGACAGAGAAAAACAATGAGTGGATAGCAAGTTTTGGGGAACAGGGAGGTGGGTGGCAGCAAGGGGAAGTAGTGGAGAAGGCTGACGATCAAAGGGGAGAGGTTCTGGGTGCTTGCGACAGGAAACAAAAGGGGTGAAGCATGCAAGAGGAGCAACGAGCAGACAAGATGCGAAGGGAAAGATAACTAACCCTGCAAGATTGAGTTACACTCGTAGCATCTCATCCCCTTCAGATATAATCCCAGAAGACAGAACAGCTGCCAACAGCCAGCGGCACAAAAAAATCTAAAATCTAAAAGATAAAACTGCACACTAAGACAGCAAACGACATATTTATAATAGGTACTAGTAGTTAGAACATAAAGGAATTAGAATAGGAAGGAAATAGAAATAGGAAGAGAATAGAAAAAGATAAGGAATAAGAGGAAGGAATAGAAATAGAAAAAAAAAAAAATAGGAAAGGAATAGAAATAGAGAAGAAACAAAAAATAGAAAAGGAATCTTCTCTATGGAAAGAAGTGACATAGGAAAATAAGAGGGGGAAGGGGCGGCAATTCCAGTCCACATAAAAGCCAGTTAGTTCAATCATCCACTTAACAAGCCCCATGTCACATAAATTAGGGCGGATCTCGGGCTGGTGGTGGTGATTAGTGAGGGCTTACAAGGTGGCGGAATGGTGGAATGGGTATCCAGGATGATGGAAGCAAAAGGGGGGAGGTGGAAAGAAGCGGTAGCAAATATGGAGGACTGGAGCGGCGATGGAAGTGAGGATGGAGAGCTCCTTAGGGTTGTTGGCAACAAGGAGAAATTGGAAGTGGGGTTTCCAGGAAGACAGCACTCGGTTGAAAGGGTGGAAAGGTGACTGGGGAGGCTAGGAAGGCTGGAACAGTAAGAGGCAAGGGGGAAGGGCAGCACGGAAGGCTGGAAAAGCAGGAAACTCCAAAAAAGGGCAGGAAAACAGTTGCTCCGGGCGGCTGCAGCACGGAAAGGCGGTGGGGAATGACATGGAGTGATGGGGGAAGAATGTGGAAGGGTTAGGGAAAAGTAATCACCACCACAGAAGCGAAATACCGTCGGAGCACCACTCGACCATTGGATCCAGCCCTAGAATGAAGAAACAAAGATGCCTGCGGAAAAAACTCACAAAAAATTGAGCTTAAAACATAAAGAATACTAAAATATAACATAAGTATAACTAGGAGTGGACCTCACTCCCAACAGGCAGCAAATCCATGCATGGGAGTGACGGTCGGTCCTTCCTATGCTTGGACCGAACATTTCAAACCCGGCAATTGTGTCGTGTTTGTGCGGGGATGCAATCCTGCATCTGTATTTTGGACAACCGCGTCAATTTTTTTTATCATTCTCTATTAATTGTAGTCACACTTCAAGTATCAAATCTAAAGCTTTATATATGATAAGAAAATAGTAATTTGTATAATCAATATGAAGCACTGAAACTTCCAATGGAAACTATATCTAATCAATATGAAGCATTGATACTTCCAAATGGGTGACGTTTCGTATTAGGCACTTGGACATTAGATTTTAGGAAACTTGGAACACTTCTTGTACAAATCTACTGCAGTTCATAAAGAAGATTTAGAAAAAATATGCACAAACTTTCACTCAAACTTGTTACTACATCTAATCAATCATATTGCAAAAACACCTCTCATGTTTCCTCTTAATCATTCTCTATTAAAAGTATTAGCACTTCAAGTAATATCAAATCTAGTGCTTTACACATGGCAAGAAAATAGTAGCTTATTTACTCCTACTATTTCTCAGATTGAATTTAGACATCTACTAAGATTGTAAGGGATGTAAGCTCTTAATTGCAATAATAGTGAATTATATTTTCAAAGTTGTCTGAACCGCAATTGTCCGATACTTTAAAAAAATTGCAAACCTTTTATATGAGTAGTGCATATCTCCCAATGTTTGTGGATCATATAATTGGATAAATAGGATAAAACAAGTTTGAACCTCTAATTAAGGGAAAAAAAAGAAAAAGTTAGCTTTTTAGACAGAATAAACGGCATTAAAATTAATTGCCATTTTCTCAATCAATTCACACCACGTAGGATTAATATCTCATCCTCCTCCAACATAGCATGCTTTGGTAAACCACAATTAAAGCTCTCAATGAATGGGAGCACCAGTTTGTCCGGATATGACCATTGGCTTATATTTAAGCATCCAACTGTAATGAAATGCTACAACGTGCTGCAGCCTGTCCTTTACTTGTTTACTATGTAGAAGCTTTGCTCTTGCACAAAAAGATACACAGCTCAGAATAACTTACTCGTACCAGGAATAAAACCAAAAAATAAAAAAAGTAAGCAGTGTCGAGTAACAAGATTCTGTTGAAAATTTTCACATCTGCAAAGAATAAAGATTGGAGTTTTACACAAAACTCCTTCAGATAATTTTCATATTTTCATTAAACATGCCCACATAAATAAGAAATAACTTACAATGGAAGGCCTCTGAAGTTGGCCTGTCTCTACAAGTTGATGAAGGTCCTTGCATTCATCCTACCATAAAAATATAACAAAGCATAAAGGCGGTATAATTAAAATTTGAAGATTACATTAATAGATATGTATTCTTTATAAACCGTATAAGTTTGCTAAACAAAATAAGAAGTCGGGCATATAAAAATACAAGACATCATTATAATTAAAATTTTGTGATTACATGTATAGGTATGTATTCCTTATAGATCGTATGATTTGTTAAACAAAATAAGAAGTCGGGAATCGAAAAAAAAAATACATCTGATTTAAGCCTCAAAATCCATAGTTATCAATAAAATAAATTTTTTGTTTCACAAAAGATCAATTTGAAATTTAAATTTTAGTATTTTGTGTTTTAGCTGAGTTGGCGGTGGTTTACATTTACATGGCACGTCAATGGGAATTGTAATTTATATTTTCAATTCTATTTCTTTCAAAAAATTCTTTGCTCCAGCTCATCAAGAATTGCAGTTATGAGGCTCTTAGCGGGTCTACTAGCGAGACTGTAGCCTGTGTAGCAGGTGTAGCAGGAATGCAGCAACCGCTTATATTGGGGTTTCTTATTGTTCCAATAGAAACACAAGAATTTTAATTTGATCCAAGGAATTCATACTTACAAGGCCAAACTGTTATATTATCACTAAGGATGTCAACAGAAATTGTAGCTGTTATTTATAGTTATGTTCTTTCAGCATATTCTTTATTCTAGTTTAGAAATGTATTCCTTTGTGAACTTTTCTATCAACTAATTTCCTTTCTTTCAATTCTTCTTACATTTCTTCTTCATCCTCATCTTCTCACATGGTTATAGTAAGATTGCAATCAGACAGATTTGCTACAATCAAGATTTCAGTTAATTGCATAAGGATTCAATTGTGTGCACGAGTCTTGTGATCCTTAAATCTAGCTATTAATTTCTAATAGATGTGATGATGAGATGTGAAAGTAAAAATCTTTGTTGATTTTTATATCATGTGTGTTGAAAATGGAGGAATCTGGTGTTAGTTATCAACCGGTAGACATTTGAATGTCTTAAAGAAAAGGAGGCCAAAGATAGAGGAAAAATTTTCTGGGAAGGAGAAAAGATTGGGGAATTAATCCTCATACATGATGCCAAAGAAGTCCATATTTTAAACTGAATTATATGACACTGAACGTCAGTTGAAATAATAATACTAATAAAAAAATCAAAGTGAAAAAAGCCCTTAAACAGCTTAAAATATTAAATTAGGCCAAAATGGTAAATGACTTTCAGGCTATCAACGATAATGAAGGACGATATCACGATACATTGAGTAATGATGAAAAGCACAAAGAATCACATAAAAAGATTGAGGTGGACAAATCAAACTGTCCAAGATCTTTCATCTAGATTGATTACTATCATTTTCTTGATTTAATCAAAGGAAATCAACAGTTATTTTGAGTTAATAGTTCTTGCCCAGTGGGATTTTTCTTCACTACATATTAGTTTTGCATTAGAAATCCTAGACTGTGACCTCCTACAGTCACAATGAATGGTAAGAATTCATATAGCATGGAGCAAAAAAACAAGTTACCTCTTCAAATTCATCATCCGATAGCATGCATATCTTAACATCCATTGATATGCTGGAAATGCAGAGGACTATATCCGTACTTGTCTCCTTAAACTTGTATTCTAGCGGAATTTTTTTCACGGCTGCAAGGGTCCATAAGATTTATATCATTCAATGATCAGAGAGAATAGTAATCTAATCAAAACAAATTCAATAGAATGAATTTTCATAACCTGTAACTTGGCCAAGCTGGTATGGTTTCCAAGGCATACCCTTGGAGCATTTTGGATCAACTTTTAACCTAACAAAACAGCCAATAACCTTAGTTTCAAATGTGGCAGGGTCTTTCAGCAATTCCACAATTAAAGATCGCCTTAAATAGATAGCTTGAATTGTATTTCTGGTTATTTCAGCAAAACAACTTTTAGGAGTTTCTAAAAGCAGCACATTGTGGTGATGTCTATCAGGTTTTAATTTGGAATCACATCTAACTTTGGAAAGACATGTAACTTTGGAATCACATCTAGTGGTTCTCTTCCTTTTTCTTGATTTGGCATACACAACTTCCTCAGCACTTGAGAATTCATCTAACGAACCATCACTAGAAGCAAAATGTGATTCCAACAAGGTGTATAGCCGACTAAGCTTGAATTTCCTTCTCCTTACCAGACGGTGCAATTTTGAATCAGAAATGGCATATTTTCTACCCCTCTGATCAATATGAACAAGACCATTAGACAGGATATAATCCCTAACAATCTCACACACATCAAATTTTTCAAGAGGTTCTTTTATTTCCTTGCCCAGATCAGCAAGAAATTTGACAAGCTCCGTTGAGCCCCAGCCAACAAACTTAATATTATTTGACTTCATTTTTTTCTTCGCCGTACTTCTTCTAGCCATTTTCCACTTCAAATCTACCAAATGATGGGCTTCATTTCCACAATTATCCTCTGAATCAGAAACTTCAATTAGGTCTTCTGAAGATACGTCTGAATCTGACAAGTTGTTGCCCTTATAAAACCTGTTAATAAGAGCATCAGCATATCGTACATTCTCCTTTGTTAAACCTTCTTGGCGTTTCACTATTGGCCAATAGTCCTTGAACAGGAATTCCCATGTGTTTCGATCATCAAAATCTACCTTTTCCTGAAACAACAAGGATAGAAATGACAGTGTACCAGCTAAGTAACCACAATGATCCTAGTGCATTTATCAAATCCATATCATCAATCAATGAGAATATAACAAATGATAATTAAAATCCATGATAGCAACTCATTGGCTCATATGAATAAAAATACAAGTTGGTTATAAGGAGAATGGAACTGAAAAACGAAAATTGTCAAACAGCTCCTTTAACGTACCTCGTCAGAATCACTGTCAGCACAATCTTCTACTAATTTTGCTAATCTTAGGCAATCACCACAAAAGCCTTTTGCCCCTTTCACTTGGCCAAACTCAGCAGTTCGAATACATTTGCGACAAAATGATGTTGGGCAGCAGAAACATTTGAATGTTGATCTTTTGTAGCAAATGAAACATGAATGCCAGCCTATTTTTTTAAACCATCGGTTAGTCACATTCATCAACACCAACAAATAATAAAACAAAATAAGGAAACGAACAATTTAGATTTTCAAGAAAATATGAAGAAAAGGACTGGATGACAAAGGTTCTGGGCTGTCATATAGAGAAAGTAGGAATAAAACATCTACAAAAAAAAATAAGTACACCTAGAAATAGAAAAACAGCTTTCCAAAGCATACAACCAACAAAATTCATCAATGATAATCACTTTCAGAGGGAACTTTTTGCTTGAAAGACTATAGGATAAAAGAAAGATATTCTAATCAATGGGAGAACCAAAGGATATTCTTCTCATGCAAATTCCAACAAAAGAATCAAATGCAAGAAGAACTGGTCCATGGGTGTTGTTGGCATCAATTTTTAATGTCACACGTGTAGTGTGTCTACTTGATTGGCTCGGGATGAGTCAATGCCCATTTATAGTGCCCCGTAGCTCAAGACACTCATCTAAAACTTCTTGGTGCATGTTCAGGGCACAAAACCACAGTCCGCGATGGTTTGATCTTGCTCGGGAGAAATCACCATTGGACAGACTCATTATGGACATGGGGCATGTTCGGCGTCCATTCTGGTGTTTAGAGACCATCATAAAATCACATGGAGTCTCCCGTGGTCAAAGGAACCCATCGAGGTTTCTTGTGGGCGTTTCAGGAAAGATTAGGGTTTAGAACGCCCTACTAGCACCATGATCCAAAGCAACCGTCGGCAATGAATCCCCTGATGGAAGGCTGATAAAAATATCCATTTTTGAGTTATGAGACCGTATTTCAGTTATGTTTGATCCGTCACAGCTTTTGGATCAAGAAAATCCTTCATCGAACGTTTCTGGTGAAAACGAACTTTTCGGGGCTAGATCGGGGCCTAGGCGCCCAATACTGCCCCCGGAGTGCCCTAACCGCGGCCTAGACAAGTAGGCGCCAGTCGTGAGCAGCTAGGCACCCAGAATGCCCTCAAACAACATTTCCCAAGCCGTGGGAAAGTAGATGCCACCCTCTTGACACCTAGGCACCATAGAACTGGCGCCAAGGCGTCGGGGTTGCAGCGCCCAGACGCCAGCCGACTTCTAGGTGATGATTTTAGGTGTGATTTTCACGATTTTGACCCCAATACACCTCCCTAGGCAGCCGGAATTGCAAGATTTCTTGGATAATGTGGAGATTTTCTTAGGGGGAAAGGGTTGATTAAACCATTTTTGAAGAGGTCTAAAGTGAAATGGCAAGGCCATTTTTGCCAAAATAGGGGGAAACTTTGAGTTGGATGATGATGTCCTTGGCTCACCTCATTTTTCCTCCCATCTCCTCCTCATTATTCAGATTTTGGGGCTGGTCATCCTCTTCCTAGAGAAAGAGAGCTTAAAGCTTCTTCTTCCTTGGAGCTAGAGTTTCCTCTTGGGGGCCTTGTGGTGAAGAGCTTGGAAGAAAGGTAAAGAGAAGGCTTGGCTTCCTACAACCTTCTTCTTCTTCATCATCTTCATTTTCCACAATAAGCCCTCTTCTTCATCTTCATTTTCCACAAGAAGCCCTCTTCTTCCTCATCTCCATCAACTTTCTCCACCACTTTCCTTGAGTGCATGTGAGATTTTCTTGAGGGTGAGCTGTGTTAACGAAGAAGCTATGCAGCAACTCTACTAAGGCAAAGGAGAGTTTCTTCACACTTTAGGGAAGGATCGTCGGAACTTCATCGGAATTTCGTCAGAGCTCGGAACTCGGTCGGAACCTCACTGGACTCTCCTTTTAAAGGAGAGCTTTGTCATTCTTTGGATAATGAGTGAAGAAAACCTCACTGGAGCTTTGCCAGAACTTTGCCGGAGCAATTGTCGAAGCGCTGCCAAGCCCAAAGAACGCGTCCTCAACCTTCGCATAGGTGAAAATTATTAAAACTTGAGCAATTTTCTTTCCTAGAGCTCCTAGATCTGGATGTTGGAGGAGAAAGATTAGGTTTGTTTGTGTTTAGAGAAAACCCCATAAGATTACGAGCCTTTGTAATCCCCTTGCGAGTCCAACAAGCAAAACTTGCCTATTTTTCTTTTTTAGCCCAAAATCCGAATGTTGGGGTCGTCGTAACCCCTACATTTGCGCAAGTGATATTGACCTCATGACAGGATTACGACCAGGCGTGTACTTATGCGGTGTCTGGCCGTCTTTTTCTGTTTCTGGGATATGTTACCGACCTAGCAGCACCGTCCTGTCCCATTTTTTTGTTTGGCGATTCCTTTACTTTTTCGATTGCATTCTTGTGTGCTTGAAATTGGTTTCGCCCTTTTTACCTCGTGGATTGTCCGGGAACCGTGCGCATAATCTAGGCACTTTATGACCTAAAATTTTATAAACTTTCTATAAAATTTTAATAATAAAATTTTGAGACTAATCAAAATTTAAGCTTAAAATTTTCAGGATTTTTCAAAGATAATGGTTAATTACTCGCCAAACCTAAAAAGCGATATTAACGATGAACAAATCACCCAGCATCAGGGAGCTCCTCCCTTGTCTCAGCATCAAGAGAATGATCTCAATATAGTATCATAATAGAAGAAGCAACCATGGAAGCCAACCAAGAAGGATAAAAAGGACCCTAGAGAGTTGAGCGACCAGAATCAAGCATTCCTGATAATTAACTTGATTGTTATGAGGCTAGTGATGGAAATTTTACAGTTATAATTAACTCCTCTTCACAGGTGACCCATTCTAGCCAGTCAGAATAGGAGTGAGGCCATCATAAATGAAAGAAATACAACAAGTTGACACCACCAATTGCTATCATCTGAGAACCTTTCTTGAAACATTCATCAAGGGGGTCACTTCAGGAAATTTCGAGTCAAACCTACCAAAAACTCAGTACAAGTCGAGTCCAAAGAGTTGTATATGGCATTCAGATGGTTACAAGTATTCCATTACAATCTAATCCACTAAGGTCTAAGAATACTTTTGAGAAAATGGAATGTAAAATACAAGATAGTCCCAGAGCAACAGAGAAGGCAAAAGCATTGGTAGACTTTCTTGCAAATTTTGCAGAAAACATTAAAATCAAGGCTTAATAAAAACCCAAGAAAGATTTCTAGTATAAGATATTGATGGAGCATTAAGATCATATCTCACATATGCACACAATTTTTCCTCGAAATAAGTAGGAAAACACTCTGACGGTTCATACTTCAACTTTGACAAAAAAAATATCATACAATGGGATTCCACCTGTCGTCAAACGTATGGAGCGCGACTTTCAATCTAGACATGATGAGCCCGATTTCATTTAAATGAGACACAAAACGTATCAAGTTTCCTATAATATCATTGGATCACTCTGATAATGCATGAGAGATCCTTGTGAGCCATCAAATATAGAAATATGAGTATAGTCCTGATCATAATATGTGTGTATGATACAATAGCCAACAACAATACAGCATAACTTCACAAATTCAACAATTTCGTCCCCAAGAAATAATAAAAAGAACAATAAATCAATTCTTGATGTATGCGTAAAATTCATCCAATCGTCAACTATGCTGGAATAAAAAGTTTTTGTTTATTCTAGAATGTCAAACCTCTAGTGTACAAATTAATCTAAAAAATGCCAAATTTGAAATTACTAAAATGTTTCAACACAAAATTATTATGAAAAGGTGTGTACAAAATGTGGAATTAATAGTGAAGGGTACGGAAAAGACTACAAGGAATTGGAGTTTAAAATTTTGCAATCATAAATCATGCAAAAAAGAAATTAATAGAAAATCAAGTGACTTTAATAGACCTTAAACTATAAAATGTAATTGAAACAAGTATACCTTTCCAGCTCAATGATAGGTCCTCAATATATGTGAGGATGATTTTTCCTTGAAGGTGAGCTAGATCAATCTTGAAGTTGATGGAGACAAACCACTGAGATGTTGAAAATCTAGATCTTCAGAGCAAGTAAATAAGCACAAAAGCAAATAATCTCGATTTTCCCATAATGTGATCAAACACAGAGGCCTACGATAATAGGAAGGCTGGCTCCTCTGTGTATAAAAGGAATTTGGTCTTGTTCTCTCTCTTTAAGAGGAGAATCTCCTTGAAAGCTTCTCATGATTGCCATTAGTAAAATATAAATTTGACAATTGCTACGTAAAGTGGATAAAATAGTGAAGTTCTTTGAATCACCCAATAATTTGGAGTGAATAAATGAGAATATTTTCAATTACTGGCATAGATTGGCAAAAGATTGAGAGTAATAAAGAGTGAATATTTGGTAAAATATGTGGGGTGGAAGGGGTTTTATTTTGAATATCTAAATATTTTGTTTCAAAATCAAAGTTTAATTAAAAGCAATGGAAAAGTTGCATGGGACGATTGCTACAAAGAACCAGTCGGATGCAAAACAAACAGACTAGAATAGCACAAAATAGCATGCATGTTTGGAGAATATCATGCATCTAAATGTTAAGAAACAAGCTTGTTCAAATCTAAAAAGCCCTTACTTCTAAACCCTATACCTTTTTTCTACCTGCTTAAGTAAACAAAGACTGAACTGAAGTATTTCTATCTTTTAAATTAGCTGAACTTCTAAAATTTTAGGACTAAAGAGAGCTCGAATCATTAACAACCTCCACTTCAAGCATAAATAACATTGGGGAATACTATCGTACTGTCAAAAGGTTAAAAAGATTTGATATAAATTTGTGACCCTCAATAGGTTAGAAGATAATTTTCCCAAACAACCAAACAAAGCACATAAAGTACCAGCAAGAGTGATGCATATCCTAAACTACAGATGGAGGAGCAGAAGATATACAGGCATCCAACAACCCATCAGCAACAAAGGAAGGTGTGGACTTGAAAGAAAAGGCTAGAATAGGTTTCAGAGGGAAAAACTTCCAGAATGTTGGTAAATTGTATTAACAATATATAAACATTATGAATACATATCATAATCATTAGAATGTTCATGAATAACTGAACCGACTAAAGAAAACTTTTTTTTTATTTC